AGGTCTCCTACTTATTGCTCTCCACCATGGTGGCCCACCCTTAGTGGGAGAAGTCTCTTCCTCTTAGGGAGTACTCATTCTGGTGGCTACTGAGGCTGAGGGACAGGGAGGCATGTGGTTATTTTGGAGCACCCCTTTATGCTGATTTATTTCAGGGTCCTGTGATTAAGGACTACTATAGGGATTGAAGTTAAAACCATAAAAGGAAAAAAAATAGAAAAGTGGTCTGGCAATACTTATGTTGTAGCAGTGGAGATCTGAAACTGTCCACACAGAAATTTTTCTCCAATATTGTTTTGCTCTAAGAAAACTGCCACATGTAAATGTGCTACTTCACTGCACTATAGACCAAGCTGTGCTAAGGAGACCTCAGCTCTTTGTAGATCTGACAAGCTGTGACTATGAAGTCTCTTCCTTAAATGGGTTTTTATAAAATTTAATATATATATTTGGAAACAAAAGCATTGTCTAGAAATAAGTAACTTACTTTAGGTCTTTGTTGATGTCAAAAACATTGCAAACTAGGATTAAAAACCCACCCCAAAACATTTAGATACCCAACTGTACCCCTTAGAGTTAGCCCTTCATCTCTATAGATTCTACATCTATAAATTCAAACCATGGATTGAAAATTTAGGTAGAAATTTTGCTTCCCTGATAAATATGTACAGATTTTTTTTTCCTTGTCATTATTCCCTAAACAATGCAGTATAGCAACTATTCACATAGCATCTACATTGTATCAGGTATTGTAAGTAACCTAGGGTTGAATTCAAGGAGGAGACACGCAGGATCTATGCAAATACTGATAATTTATTGCATAGATAAATGCATAGATTATATTACTGTTCTAAATGAGGGTTTGAGCATCCAAGGATTCTGGTATCTGAGGCGGCAGCCCCTGGAACCAATACCTTGTGGATTGCCATTCAATAAAAGTAACTACATTATCATTCACATTGCTTTACCTTTGGAAAATTAAGTCACAAGAGAAGGACTAGATGTGGCTTTGGATTATAGTATGATCTCTTCCTTGAATTTCTTAGATCTTGTTAGTGTTTGGGGATATCTCTTTGTCATAGTAGAAGATGTAGACAATAGGGTGCAAGAAGAACAAGTAAGGACAAAGTGCAGGAATCTCAACAAGAAAGGCACAACTCTTCCCATGTTATTTTTGTTAACACATCCTGTTTTGTCTAAGTTAGAAGCTTACGTGTAACTGTGAAGGATCTGGTCGCTGTCACACTGTAATTGACTCCATTTTCAGTGTGTATAAATTTACAGGTGTAATCACCTTCGTCATCACTCCTCACATTGTTGATGAGCAAAAACGATTTGTGTGTCCTATACCTTGATCCCTGGAGAGCTTCACAATTCTAAAACAAAAGTTCCATTCCCTTTTCAGTAATTTTGGACTTTTATCTATTTTTGTGTATTTCACCACTCCCCCCCACCAAAAAAAAATTTCCTTTTACCTTAAACCACTCCAGAGGTGCTGTCCAATTGTAGAGGTCAATTGTAGGACAAGAAATCCTGGAATTTTTTTCTGATCCAGATACTGTTGAATACATTAAATAATCTGGAATTTTGCAATCTGGTTGTTTTTTATATATGGTGACATTTGCAAAGCCAGTCTTATTCAAGGTGGAACTAAAAAAATAAGCCAGACCAAAAAAAAAAAAAAGTTACTCAGAACTGTGAAATAACAAGTCAACTCTAGCCTTCGCTTGATATTATTTTTATATTATTTATTTCTTATAATTGATAGTGGTTCCTTTCTTAGGGAAAAAAAAATCATTTAAATGTAGAGTTTTGACCCAATAGAGTTTTTATTTCCTTTAGGAAGAAAGAAAACATAACACCTATTTCAGCTCCAAAATGACGACTTTATATACTACGACTGCTGTAAAAAGCTTGATCCCAATATGATTATGATCACGAGTACTAACTGAAAATACGTGCCTGTCATGGTGGTAAGCATTTTTCATACCTTATCTCATTTTATTCTCACAGTGATGCTTCGAAGTAGATTATATTATCACATGTATTTTACAGAAGAGGAAACTAACAGGAAGACAAGCAGCTTGCTGGTGTCACACAGCTAGCTAGGGCTAGGTTGTGAACTTGAAGCTGGTAGGGGATCAGAGGCATGTAACTATACTCAGGTTATCTTCTGAATGTAGCTCATCTAATATTTTGTAGGTCCAGAATATGGGCATGAATTCAAAATGTAACACTTTATATACAGACTAGTGATCTATAGCCCATGCAATCTCACACAACCCTCCTTGGCTGACCTCTAAGATTTAAGGTCTGGCCAGTTGCCCCTTTTCACCCACCCAAATCTCCATGATGCCAAAAGTCTAGGTCACTGGGTTTTGTGCCAGTGGGTTCTTCCTTCCAGCCAAGAGGGAGCCATTGCTCTTGGTTCTTTTGGTAACTGGGAAAGCTAGTTCTTTTTCTAATTGGGGTACCAGTGAATCCCTATCTAAAGAGTTGGCGCATCCCCATCCCCTCCTGCCCCAAGCTGGTGGTGTTTCTAGAGTTACTCTTTTATCCAAATCACTTTATAAATTCAGCTGTTCCACAACAGAGTAGAGAAGGAAGACAGGTGAGAGTGGAACAGACTCTCAACGACTAAGGAGAGAGAATCCAGCTCAAAGACAAGGTTGGCTTCCTGGATAATACCTTCTGATGATGCAAGTGTAAATTCCAGAATCATCCACGCTGGCTGGGAGAAACTTAAGACGTTCCCCTGAGGCAAACACACGATTTTTATTCTGGGTGGGAATAGTCTCATTTGTTTTTGAGTAATACCATTCTACAGTGGAAAGGGGTGCTCTTCTTTTTGGACATCTCACAATCAGAGCCTCATTTTCTAGGCCCCAGAATGTTTTATCTGCAAATAAAGAACATAGACATGATCAAATGAAATTATATAATTCTTACACTCTTAATATTTCCATCTAGGATTAAATTTAACCACGGGTCACATATATGGACATTTTAAGAAACAATAAGTCAATGAGTAAAATCTTTAATGAAGTGTTCTACTGAGTACCACAGATCAGTGAAGTCATTTGGATCCAAATTCACCCTACTGTTCCCGTGGAAAAGCAACCATCTACCTAAACAGATATGTCAGTCAACAAATGCTTGTAAATTAAAAGTTAAAATTCTGATGCATTTGAATATTTACATCTAAAATCATGATTTATCCATTATGAAGAATTTCTTCTGATAGATTTGCAATGAAGAATGATTGTCAAGCATTTACAGTTTTGCGAATGCTTTCTAGTTTACAATTCAGCCGGAATAATTAGAAGTAAGCAATTTAAAACAAGGCACATGCTCTTGGAATTAATTTGTTTGTATTAGTTGAAAAGCAATACTTACAACCATTAGCTTCTATGAAGTGGATGGGAACTGTTAGAATTGCCAAGATCCAAAGGCCCAGTCTCTGTTTATCAACCCAGGGCAAGTGTCGGTGACTGACTGTAGAGGTTGCACCAGATAAATGAATGGTACAGGCTAGGGAAGGTCTCCACAAGGCCATTGGTTGTTCTTCTTAAGATTTACAGTCAGGAAGAATATCCAAAGCCTCTACTGAAAAATATATTATACAAAACCAGAATAAAAATAACTATTTAGTCATTATTTTTACTAGCTCAAGGCTACCAAGGAGAAAAAAAAATTCATCAACAGACTTATTAAGTACACATGTATAATAATAGCAGATTTCAGACATGCAATATTGCATTTATTCCTTTTGAACTTTGGTAACTTGGAAAGTTACCTCAATGATCATGCTGTCTCACAATTATATTTTACTAGTCTCATGAGAATGTCCTCAAAAGAATTTAAGTGACGAGCAAAGAAAAGGAATGTTTACTGAAAAAAAAAACCATAAAATTCAAAAGACTCTAGAAAGTGGAATATTATATAAAATGGCAAACATTTTCACAGGCTAGAGGAATTGTGTACACACATGTTAATGCACACTCCAGCACATGTGGAGCTAATCATCACAAAGCAACTAAGGAAGAAAGAGAGAGAGAGAGAGAGAGAGAGAGAGAGAGAGAGAGCCAAAACCTCAAAAATTTGTCCCTGCCTTAGCTTGTCCCCAAGAGTCACCAAAGGCTCTCTAAGAATAGTTGAAGGGTTGTAAACAGCAAGAAATTACTTTCCTTGTTACTTTCAGTAAGAGAATCATTTATGATATTTTCTTTCATTGGGGAGAGGTGTAATCAATATAGAAATTTACATGCGTGTTAATAAACACATCCACCCTTAAGAAAGCTTGTTCCTTTCAACATGAATCATTGATACTTTCCTGACTACCAGCTTTAGGTAAGTAATTCATGCTTACCTAGACTGAAGGACTGAAGGGAGTCAGCTCCAGGTCAAGGACTGAGCTAAGAATGGCTTCTTGCCCTTTAGCTCCTCCCTGGACACACTCTCTTTTATTTTAAACACTCAAAGACATCTTGCAACTAGCCACTCCCTCACACCCTGAAATTTGATCTTTAGCCAAAATCATGACTCAGTTAAAAAAATGTTGGTGCATCACCGTCTAAGAATCTGTGAGCTTGACACATGTTTAAAAAGAATGACAACTTTGAAAAATCCCCTTTAAAGGGAACACTCAAATCAGTTCCCGGTGTTTCGCACTCATTGCTCAGGCTGAATAATAAAATAATGTTTGTGGTTTGTTTCCCTGGTATTGTTTCGCTTTTCCTTCCAAATGATCTTGACACATGGACCTTTGAACTGTCCTTCCAGATACTCCCTAATGCCTCATTTGACAGATGCTGTGTAGGAAGGCCCCGTCAGCTGTGCTGGAGAATTCTGAAAAAAAAAAAAAAAAAAAGGAGGGGGGAGGAATAAGCCTTGAGAAGCAAGCCGGACTTCATATTACTTAGAAGTGTTTTCTTCTGTGGTCCAGAGTGTGACAATCTTATCCAAAAATAGGGCCCGGCTTCTCAGATTTCAATCCAAATAATATTCTCAGCTTGGATGGAAAATAAGGAAGTTTTTCTAAGGAGTTTAGAGAAGTAGAGGAAGATTGTGAATAAGAAGTTCTCTTCATGGCATTTACCGGTAAATGGATGGAGTTGGAGAAGATAATGCTAAGTGAAGTTAGCCAATCCCCAGAAAACAAATGCTGAATGTTTTCTTTGATATAAGGAGGCTGACTCATAGTGGGATAGGGAGCAGGAGCATGGGAGGAATAGATGAACTCTAGATAGGGCAGATGAGTGGGAGGGGAAGGGTGGGGGCATGGGGTAATTAATGATGGTGGAATGTGATAGTCATCATTATCCAAAGTACACGTATGAGGACATGAATTGGTGTGAACATACTATGTGTACAACCAGAGATATGAAAAATCCGAGCTCTATCTAGGTAATAAGAGTCGTAATGCATTCTGCTGTTATATATAAATTAGAAAAAGAAAAAAAAATAAAAGAAGTTCCCTTCAGACGACATCAAATTATCACTCTTTGCAGATCATATGCTTCTATATTTAGAAGATCCAAAAAACTCCACCAAAAGACTGCTAGAGCTAATAAGCAATTTAGCAAAGAAGCAGGTTTAAAAATTAACATACAAAAATCGACAACTTCTCTAAATACCAGCAATGAATCTGTTGAGAAAGGAATCAGGAAAACAGTTCCATTCACAGCAGCCTCAAAACAAACAAACAAACAAGAAAAAACCTGGGAATAAATCTTACCAAGGAGGTGAAAGACCTCTGTGATGTAAATTATAGAACACTGAAGAATGAAATTGAAGGAGATCTCAGAAGATGATGGAAAGACCTCCAATGTTCATGGATAGATAGAATTCATATCGTTAATGTGGCCATTCTACCAAGAGAACACAGATTCAATGTAATCCCCACCACAATACCACTGACATTCTTCACAGAACTAGAAAAATCAGTCCTGAAATACATTTGAAAGAATAAAAGACCCAGAACTGCAAAAGCAATTTTAAGGCAAAAAGCCATGCTGGAGGCATGACAATACCTGGTTTCAAACTATCCTATAGAACTATAGAAACAAAAACTGTATAGCACTGGCATAAAACAGACACATAGACCAACGGTACAAAATAGAAGACACAGAAACAAACCCACATGTCTGCAGTCAGATATCTGATCTTTGAAAAAGGTGTCAAAAATATACATTGGGAAAAAAAGGCAGCTTTTTTAACAAATGGTGCTGGGAAAACTGGTTATCCCTGTGTAGGAGAATGAAACTAGACCCTCAATGCTCACTCTACACAAAAATAAACTACAAATGGATCAAAGACCGAGGAATTAGACCAGAAACTATGCAAGGGCAAGAAGAAAATGTAGAGCCAACACTTCAGCTTTCAGGCCAGACAATGATTTTCTCAATAGGACTTCTAATTAGAACTCAGTAAAAAATGCAAAGAGTTAAGAAACAGGATGACATCAAATTAAAAAGGTTCTGTATGCCAAAAGAAACAACTAGGAATGTAAAGAAAATACCTGCAGAATGAGAGTAAATATTTGCAAGCTTGTCTTCTGAAAGAGGATTAACATCTAGAATATATAAAGAACTCACACTGTTGGTGGGATTGTAAGTCAGTACAACTGCTATGCAAATCAGCATGGAGATTCCTCATAAGACTAGGCATGGAACCACCATGTGATCCAGCTACACCACTCCTCTGTATTTATCCTGAAGAATTCAAGTCATCATACTACAGTGATACAAGCATACCCACATTTATAACAGCACAATTCACAATAGCCAAGATATTGAACCAGCCTAGGTGTCCCTCAATGCATGAATGGATAAAGAAAATAGGGTACGTATATACACAATGGAGTTTAATTTAGCCATAAAGTAAAATGAAATTATGTCATTCACAAGAAGACGGATGGAACCAGAGACCATTAAGTGAAATAAGTGAAACTCAGAAGTCAAACATTGTATGTTTTCTCTTATATGTGAAAGCTACAGAGATAAAAAAGGAAAAGAAAGGTGGGAAGAGAAGATCTCAGGAAAATCAAAGAGAGATCAATAGAGGAAAGAAACCAGGGAGCAGGAGGAGAGAAGAGAGAGGGAAATCCTGAGGAGTTATATTGGCCAACTTACATTGTTATATTGTGAGCATGTGTGAATATGTAACCACAAATTCCATCACTATGTACGACCCTAATGCACCAATAAAAAAATGTAGAAATAAAAAAAAAAGAAAAGAAGTTTCCATTTCAAGGTAGGAACAAAGCATCACCTCTTACTTTGGACTCCATGATATTAATGTTAAATGTTAATGGTTAAATTTGATTTTAGCTACACATAGTTGTTGTGACTCCATTAGGAAAGTACATTCAAATTAACTTTTTAGTCATCACATCTGGGAAGGATTTAGGGGCTACTTCCAGATCAACATGATAGCAGAATAAAAATGGCTAGCCTTTACGTGGGACTTTCTCTGTGCCATCTGCCATTCTGAGTGAATCACATGTATCTCTTTATTCTCAAAATCACCCGATGGCGTGGGCACTATTATAACTATCAACCTTGTACAGACAAGGATAGCGAGGAACAGAAATCGAGTACCTTGCTTAAGCTATGTAACACTGTGAGATAGAGCCGGAACTTGAATCTCAAATCAGCCAGCTACAAAGACCAGATTCATCACCAGATCCCGAGGCTACCAGGTGTGGGAAATTAAGGAGGAAGTACAGCCAAAGAGACCCCTAAGTAAACGTTTTCATCCAGTTTCCAGAAGCTTCTTAGCTCCCCACGGTGGCTGGGAGCCTCTTGATATATCTTAACTGCACAAGGGTCTGGCCAGTCCTTGGACATGAGTGACAAGATCTGAGAGGAAGAGATCCCAAGACCTTTGCTGGAGGATTGGCCGTGAGATAGATGGTGTGACTTTGAGGAATTAGTTCTGCTCATTGATCTTTTTGGTTCTTCCTGTCAAGACCGTATTATGAGTCAGAGCAGGAGATCAAAAAGCAAACAGCCTGCATGTTTGGAACCTGCCTAGAGCTTAATCAGCACCAGATAAGGGTTTGTCAAATTAAATAATGCAAAAACTCAGAATTGTTTTCTATATTTTGTGTCCTGAAATGTCTTTTTCAAAATATTTGTTAAAGTTGGGCATTTACTCGTTAAACGAGGCCACCTGTGCATTGGGCTTCATAGTTTTAAAAATAAGGTGTCAGTCAAAATTTTAACATAATAAATATTTACAGGAGCATTTAAGAAAGTTCAACTGCAGTGAAATAGTTCAGACATCTATTTGGCAAATCTAAGAACTTCCATTCAAAGTACATTACTATCGGTTAAAAAAATGATTTAAAAAATTCGAAAAATCAAAGTACAGTACTGTGCACATCATTGGAATTTTATTGATTAACATGAAAACCCGAGGATAAGACTGGTGATATAATATGACCAAGCTCACCCGGTTTCGGTTGAGGTTAAAACCAGACCTGCTGAGTTTCAAAACCAAGGTCTCCACCCGCTCCTAATATCAACTCAAAGAGAGATAGATTATAATGTTAAAGCTTCCCTTCTTATAATTGGGACTAAGTTATTAAAGAAAACAAACACTAGTCTGCTTTCCCTTAGGTATTTTCTTTAAAAAGAACTAACCATTTTGGCTTCTAACAACCCTGACAGGTCCAACATAGAATGCAGTATTTTATAGAAACTTAAAATGTTGACGGCAAAGGCTTAGGATTCATCAATAAACCAAACAAGGGATTTAAAGGAGCCTTGATTATCTGCCAAGTTAATCAGAATTCCTGTTTCTCAAGCAAACAACCTTCCCCCCACCTTTTAAAAAAGAGTTTTTATAACTACTCTGTTTTCAAAATTAATCTGATAAATAAAATCTAACTTGACCCTCCTCCTGCCCTGGTTTGGGGTTATAATTTTAAACTCTTACAATCTATTCATAATCAACTTCTCTGAAGTTTCCACTAAAATTAAATTAAATTAAACCTAGACTTCCAGAGTTAACAGCTAGCTGCTTGCCTTGGACCTTCAAGTATTTGGTTACATAGAAGATGTTTTACAGGTTTACTCATTTGACCTGGCCCATGTCACAACTAAATGTAAGATATACATGTTGCAACCCTCCAGAGCCGGCCAACTAGCCTTGGTTTTACTGTAAACCCAAGTCATAAGCCAGGACATTTTTATGACATTAACTTTACATGAATTTAAGTTGGTCACTGAACCAGCAAGAGGTGGATCCCCACCTCCCCATCCCGCTTATCATGTTTAATTAGAGAGCATTTTGGATGCCATTTTTCTATCTTTTCTTCTCCTCATGAAAACCTGTGTAAGGCCTACGGTGGACAGGGACAGAACCGATGCCATGTTAGGAGGTTGGCCTAACTCCGCCAGCTGTCACCTTAATAAAAAACTGGTCTTGTGGATCTCCTTTGTCACACCCCAAAGTCTAGGGATGCCCAGTGCTCTGCTCCTTCCCTCCCACCATCTTTTTCCTCATCCAGTCCTCCTCTCCAAGAATCAGAAGCAACTGGAATACATTCAAGGACAAACCAGAATGAACAGAGACGCCACATCTCCAGAACTGAAGGCCTGGTCTCCTCGATCCTCCTTCCTTCTCCTGCCCCTTCTCCTGCTTCTCTCACAGATTCCCTCTGTCACCCATGGCAACTCCAAACGGCATGGCCTCCTACTGAAGCTTGCCATGTAGGATGGGCTTCTCTGCACATGTCCGGCAAGCAGCTCACCGGGATGACCTCTCACTTTCACCTTCAGAGTGCACCCCACCTGCACCTATCTCTCCCTACCTCCACTGCCACCTTCCTAGTCTAGCCG